TTTATTGTAATATTGTTTATAATGGTGCTGGGGGTTTAGCTCAGTGGCACAGCGCCTGCCTGGCAAGTGCAAGGTCATGAGTTCGATTCCCAGTATCGGAAAAAAAAAAACATATTGTTTATAATGATTCAGTATAATACAATAAATAATACAGGGGCTGGGGATTTAGCTCAGTGGCACAGCGCCTGCCTGGCAAGCGCAAGGTCATGAGTTCAATTCCTGGTACGGGGAAAAAAAACAAAAAAACAAAACAAACAAACAAAAAAATACAAAGTTATTTGTAGTGATAAAAAAACTTAGATCTACCAGATACTGGAGAATGGTTACATAAATTATAACATATCAGTGTAAGGGAAAAATAATCATGTTGATTTGTATAATTGGTTTTCAATTTTTACATGTTATACGTACACTGGCATGCCAAATTGCTTTACATATGTCATGTAACTCGGTGTTCCTTATACTTTCGTTGTGTATACTTGAAACTTCGGTAATTTATGTGCTGAGACTGTGGTGGAACACTTGGCCAGCACATGCAAGCCCTGGATTCCTTAGCACCGCACGTGTGTGTGTACGCACGATTTAAGCTGTTCTCATGGATTGTGCATGTTGATTTGGGTAGCGTGCTTCAGGTGTAGCTCTGTACTGTACTCCTTTCCTGGTGTGAAAAGGCTCTGGGTTCCGTCCTCAGCAGTGTGAAGAAAGGGAAAGGAAAGAAAGAGGAGGGAGGGGGGACAGAAAATTAAAGCAAACTAGAGCAAAAGGAGCTTGTGCTACTCTAAAGCTGAAACCAATTTACTAATAAAGCGATGAGCCATTACGATATTAATTTAACTGGAAAGTGCTGTTTTCCTGAGACTAGATTGCTGCTGGCAGTGTGAATGCCGTGCCAGAGCAAGAGGGTGCTCTGAATGCCTCAGTTCCCGTCATCTTGCTTTGTTCAGTGCACTAAAAAAAGCTTTTCAGTGATCAGCTCAGTGATCAGGAGATTGTTTTATTTTTAGTGTGTCAGTGTGTCTTTTTTTTCCTGCTTAGCCCAAGCAGTTAAAGCACTAGGACTGAGTTCCCAGCTAAATAATGAACGCAAATGCGAAAGCAAGCCCAGAAACTCTGGCGGCACTGAGTTCAGAGGTGGCTGGAGAGTGTGCTTATATGATGATGTTTTAAATATCATTAAAATGAAAACAAAGTTACACCCGGAGAGCTTACTAATCTTGGTGACATTGTCTTTGTTTTCCCCTGTAGAAGGGATTGAACCCAGGACCTCTGCGTACTAGGCAACTACTACACTTGTGAGCTTCACCCCAGGCCTTTTATTTCCTTAATGATGTCTTCTAATCAGCAAGTGTTTCTTTTACAACTAAAGCTTTTTGTGTCCTGTGCAAGAAATCTTTTACTCCAAGGATATTATTTTCCTATGTTTTTATCAATTTCCTATGTTTTGGCTTTTAGACTAAATAATTAATTAATTAAAGTTAAGTTTTATGTATGATTTGAGAGAACAGTTAACATTCATTTTTCATGTAGATAGCCTGCTCTACCAGCATTATTTTTTAAGAAGACTTTCTTTTTACCACAGTTTTGACCTAGCACACTCCTCTGCCGCACTGGGGATTGACCCCTGAGGAATGCTGAGCTCCGTTCTCAGACCTTCTTGATTTTTTTATTTTCAGACAGAATCTTGCTAAATTGCCCAGGCTGGCCTTGAATTTATGGTCCTTCTGCCTCAGCCTCTTGAGTAGCTGGGATTACGGACGTGTGCCACCAAGCCCAGCCTTGATTCAGCACTTTGGCTAAAAATGAGCTAACTCTGACTGTGGGGGTTTCTTCCTAGTCTTTGGGTTGTTTTGTTCCACTGATTTCTGTATTCTAATTCCAGAGCCATTCTGTATTGGTAACCATTACTTTTTAGTAAAGCTTAAATGCAGAGCATAAAAAAAAGTTAGAACCGCTGTTCTCCTTTTTCCAGATTACTGTGGCAGTAGATTTTTTTCACTTCCAGATGAATTTTACAGTTTAGTTTCTTTTGCAAGAAAACTTGTTTTTACATTTTGATTAAGATATAGTGTCTCTAGAGTAAATTGGGGAGGGTGGGCATGTTAACAATATTGAGTCTTTCACTCTGTGATATGTAAAATGTGCTTTATCTTCCCATTTATTTCTGGCTATCTTCCTTGCAATGTTTTATATTTCAGTGTAGAGATCTACACACCTGTCTACATTTGCTTATGGGTATTTGATACAAGTGAGAATGTGACAGCATATAAAACAGTTGAGTTTTGTGCATCGATTTTGTATCCCTCAGCTTAGCAGAATTTAAGAGTTTTACTAGTTTTTTTTTAATAGATTCTCTAGGGGGTTCTAATACATGTAGTATTATCTGTGATAAACAGCAGTTTTACTTCCAGTCTCACTGCCTTTTATTTTTGTCTTTATATTGTAGGCTAACCTATGGAGGAAAATTTAACAGTCATGGTCTCTGAGTGGATGAGATAATAAGTGTTTAAAAAGAATTTTTTTTTTGTCTTTTTGAGACAGGGTTTCATTGTGTAATTCAGGCTGGCCTTGAACTCACTTTGTAGTCTAGGCTAGCCTTAAACTCACAGTGATCCTCCTGCCTCAGCCTCCCAAGTGCTGGGATTACTGGCATGCTTAGAAAGATTTTTTTCCCTTGCATCATTTTCTAGTATTTCTGTGACAAAGTACTGGTCTTATACAGCAATGATTTTTTAAAAATGAGTAAGTATGGCCATTGTGGTGGTCTATGCTTGTAACCCCAGCTACTGCAGAAGCTGAGGCAAGAGAACTGCAAGTTCAAGGCCAGCCTGGGCAACTTACTGAGACCTTATCTCCTCCCCCACCCCCCGCCCCAACTTTTTTTGAGACAAGGTTTCACCATGCAATTCAGACTGGTCTCAAACTCACAGTGATCCTCCTGCCTCAGCCTCCCAAGTGCTAGGATTACAGGAGTGCGCCACCACACCCAGCTCAAGACCTTATCTCAAAAAAAAATAAGTGCTAGGGACGTAGCTCAGTGGTAGAGCACTTGTCTACAATGTATGAGGCCCTGAATTTAATCCCTTTTCAAAAGAACATGCAAAATGCCAATTTAAAAGGCAAAATAAAAATTCATTCATGAATTATGATTATGTGTATGTGTGTATGATGCTAGGGATGGAATCCAGGGCCTGGTGTATGCTAGTGAGGTGTTTTACTTCTGAGCTCCATTCCCAGGCCTGAGTACGTAAGATGTTTACATAGAGAACAAACACCTGAGTGTCTTATAGTGCAGTGGAATATCAATAGGAAAAATTTCAGTAAAGTTCCATTGTTGTTCTTTTTTCTTTTTTGGGGGCGCGGGTGGCGTTTCCAGTACTGGGAATTGAACTCACTACCTTGCGCTTGCCAGGCAGGTGCTCTGCTGCTGAGCTGAATCCCCAGCCCCTGTTACTCTTTTTTCTACCGTGTTCTTGTCTGTTTCTTCCTAAGTAGACCTTTTGTCTTATTTTGCTGAGCTACCGAACGGTTGTGCTCAACCAAAAATAGGCAGAAATGTAAAATCTAGCAAAGGCTATAGATGACTAACATATGAAGGTACTTTGTGCTATGCTGAGAAAAAATAAAAGCTGGATGTGAGGATAGGAAGGGTGAATGAGACAGAAATTGGAGAAGATTATTAGCTCTTAAAGGGTTTTATATGTAGTTTCTAATGTAATTTTTCCTTAGTTGCTTCTCAGAAGTATTTTTTTGTTGGTTTTCATGGCTTTATAAAGTTTGAAGTATTTTTTTTGAGGTAACTTTTATTCTTTTCTTGTCTTTCTTTTTCTTTTACTCCCCGTACCCGGGGTAGAACCCAGGGCCCGTGCACTGAGCTGTGTCCCCGTTCGTTTGTTCATTCATTGATTCATTCATTCATTCAGGAGACGAGCTAAATTGCTCAGATGGTTTGGACTTGGCTGCCCTCCTGCCTCAGCTGGTGCCAGGATTATGGGCTGTTCCTGGCTAGTATGGTTTTTTATTTGGCTGTGATTTGTCTGGATTTATTGCCCATATAGCTATAGCTTCTTAGCCGGTGATGACTTAGTATTTGTAGTTTTGATTACTTGCGAACAACCCGGTGGCTCACGAGCACTGTGACTGGAAGTGGAGTTTACTTACACTGATAACAGTATGAGATGTGTTTCCCTTGGCCACTCAGTAAACCACATACACACAAGCCCTAGGAGAGTTACGGAGCAGTTCTCGTACATTTTAAGAAAATAGTAACACCTTTGCTTTTGTGTGTGAAATAGTCTTTGAGTGTAAGAGACGAGCTGTAATGACAGTGCAGTGTGAGGAGATGCATGGGACATAGTAGCTGCTCACTGGAAATTGAGAAATTCAGGAGGAGCCTACAAATTGTGTGGGAGAATCCCCCAGTTCTGTACTTGTGCTTTCAAGAATTTTCAAAGGCCTTTAGACAAATGCGCAGATAAAAGGCTCCTATAGAGTTAATTCTGAGTGTGACCTGTTGACTGAAAAGATTATTAAATTAGATGGCAGAGATACACAATCTAATCCCATTGTACCACCTATTATCTGTATGACCCTGACCAGGTTACATCATGTCTCTGGTCTCCATATTCCTTTTGTGAAGGGGAGCGGGAACTTTGAGTCTGCCAGGCTGCTAATTCTGCAGTGCAGCTGTGTTCAAGGGAAGGCTAGACACCTGGCTAAGGGGAGGGAGGGTGGGAGCGGCAATCCTGGCTACCCTGAGCAGGAACGGTGCGCCCTTCACAGATCCTGACCACGTAGAGCCCGGCAGCTCTGCACCTGCTTCGGGGGGCGGGCGGTTCTTGGTAATTGGCTCGTGATGCTGTATCCATGGCAGCGGCTCGGACTGTGGCTGCCTCACAGGACTGTTAGAGAGAACAACGAGGTGGTGTAGAAGTGCTTTGAAAAGGGTAGTGTTACAGAAATATAATGTCTTGCTTTTGCTGTTCATCTGTGGTTTATTTTAGGATAGATACAACAAGAATTGAATACTCCATTCCCTTAAGAGAAAACTGGGCACTGCCATATTTTGCATGCCAAGTTGCTGCGCTTACAGGCTATTTAAAAAGCAATTTAAATACTTATGCAGAGGTAAGATGCAAATCTGTTTGATTCATCACGCTTAATTCTCATATATTGCAAATGTGGTACAAATCTTAAAGCTGGTCATGTTGAGTTTGGTTCGATGAAGCCTAGTTACTGCATAATAAAGGATACCATATATATGTGTATGTGTACATACGTATGTAATGATAGGGTCTCGCTAAGTTGCACAAGTTGGGCTTAAACTTACGATCCTCTTGTGTCAGCTTCCCAGACTGCTGGGATTACAAGTGTGTGCCACCATGCCCACCTTATAATTTACATTTTTCCAAAAGTAAAACTCCCCAGTCTTGCAATCATGTTCACTCTTCTTTCCTTCCCTCCCTTCTCTGTTTTTATCTTGAATGAGTTTTAAGATTCACAGGAAGTTATAAAAATTTACAATAATATAATATTTTTGTTACTTTAGCTTCAGACCTTTCGATTTCACCGAGCTATTATATGCACTCCTTTTTTGGGAGGAAGGATACATAGTTTTTTTTTGTTGTTGTTTTTGTTTTTGCTTTGTTTTGTTTTGAGGTACACTGTCACTGTGTATCACAAGCTAGCCTTGAACTCAAAATCCTACTACCTCCGCCTCCGAGGCGCTGGGATTACAGGTATGTACCACTATGTCCAGCTTAGTTGTATGAGTTTTATCACATTTATAGATCTGAGTGGCTATCATTAAATGAAAGTATAAAACTTTACCGTCCTTACAAACTCTGTTACCCCTTTATAAATCAAGTCCCCCTCTAAAGCTAACCTTTGTCAACCATTGATTTGCTTGCTTTTTTTTTTTTTTTTGGTACCAGGAATTGAACTCACGGCCTTCACTGTGCCCCTGATTTGCTTTCTGTCATACATTTTTCTTACTTTGAAAAGTTGTAGGAATGGAATCATTGTGGTATATAACCTGTCACAGGCTGAGAGTAGCCCTTTCATCCACCTGAATGCCCTGGGTTCCATCTGAGTTCCTGCATGTAGTTGAACTTTGCTTTTTGTCATTGCTGAGGAGTATTCCAAGGACAAGAACTTTTAAAAATGACATATTTTGTCATTTGCTCAGGGGAAGGGAAAACTTAGCTGACTCTCCAAATATGTTTCTAGCTTCAAAACTTACTTTTCCTGCATGTTCTTAAGAGGAGTTTGAGAAAAATTCTTGGAATTAGTGTTTTGAGTATGTTGTCACATTTCTCCAAAATCCCCCAGATGTATTAGGCACGTGTCCCAACTCCCCTGATGGGTGAAATCATTATGTACTGCAAACATGGACTAAGAAAATTTTAGGAAAAAACACCTCCATATGCACGTATAGCTGTGGTGAGAAGCAGAGTACAAGCTTAGGTGTTTTATCAGTGTGGAGCCCTTCTGCGCTTTGCAGTGCTGGTATCTGACCAGTTGATGGAATTTTGCCAACTTTTACATTTTGTTCTGTGGTCTTAATCTTATTCAAGCTGCTGGAAAATTCATTTCTCTTGTGATGGCTGAGATATTACCGGCCCTGGAATTTATCATTATCGTCAGCTGAGATGAAGGATTTAGCACTAGAAAACACAGTTCTCTGGTTTCTTGGCCTGACCTTTGTTACCCTTCTTATTCACTGTTCTGTTACAGTGAGATCATTTGACACAGCTGATGGAAGAACTGGGAATTTTAAAAAGTAGATCCATATAGAAAGGAGTAACTGTGGTTGGAAATATGCTACATGACAGTGGTTACTCACTAAAGGGTCATTTTTTTGTTTGTTTGTTTATTTTTTTCCGGTACCGGGAATTGAACTCACGACCTTGTGCTTGCCAGGCAGGCGCTGTGCCGCTGAGCTAAATCCCCAGCCCCTAAAGGGTCATTTGGAAGGATGGAATTGATTTTAGCCATGCATATTTCAGGCAAGGGCAATGAAATCTCCGTGTTTAGTATTTAGCAGAGGAAAACAACTACGAATTTTATATGGTTGACAGTACAAGTGTTGAGGAAAGGTAAGGCCATAGTTTTGTTAAGAGCAACGACCTAGAGTACAGGGTTGAGGAATAACTTGAAATAACAGATGCTTTAAATTGTAGGTTTTAGGGGCTGGGGATTTAGCGGCAAAGCGCCTGCCTGGCAAGCGAAAGGTCGTGAGTTCGGTTCCCATTACCGGAGAAAAACCAAAAAAAAAAAAAAAATTGTAGGTTTTAGGAAAATATGAATCACCATGGAAATAAAAATACAGTAGTATTTACAGAGTGAAAGAAGTTATTCCACATTGACAAAGCTCACCAGCCAAGCCACCATTTTGTTCTATAAATACACTTTCTCTCTTTTGGGACAAAGGAAAATTGTATTGAAATTTCTTTTCTTTTTCTTCCCTGTCTTTTTTCCTTTGTCATTCTGAGATTTTCAATACAATGTTGAAGGGCAAGTCGTTGTGTGCCTTGAAATCTTACTGTTTGTAAGGATTTATAGGAATTATGTGATTTAAAAACAGTTGCAAGAGTTACATAGATTAAAGTTGGCCCAGTAACAGAGTTGCAGCTTAGAGGTAACAGCCTCATAACTGTTGATAGTAATAAAGCTACGGATACTCAATTTCTCCCTTTGCTTTCCCCTAGAGGTTTTGCTACCTGTTGATGAGCGCCTCAACTTACACCTTTATGATGATGTGGGAGTACAGCCACTATCTCTTGTTTCTTCAAGCAGTATCTCTGTTCCTGCTAAATGTCTTTTCAGTGGAGCAAGGTGACAAGGTATTATAATGTTTTGAAATGATATATTTGAATCCAGAAAAGAAGTGGCTTTCTAGTGTTGTATCTTAAAACCGTCCATCTGTTTCCTCACCCCCTATATTCAGCTGGTGATTGCCAATATTAAAAGTATTCGAACTGAGAGGGCTTTTTCTTTTTCTTTTTTGTAGACAGGGTCTCACTGTGTAGCCCAAGCTAGCTTTCAACTCACTATGTAGCCCGGGCTGGCCTTGAACTCTCAGCGATCCTCCTCCCTCAGCCTCCCAAGTACTGGGATTATAGGCAAGGGCCACCACACCTGGCTGAACTGAGAGAATTCAGCCAAGCTGGGGCTGTAGCTCAGTGGTAGAATGCATTGTAGTCAGGTGCAAGGCACTGGCTCAATTCCCAGCAAAACAAAAACACTGGTTAACCAAGTATAAAGTCATTAACTTATTCAGTGATTAGTTGAAAGGGTAGTAAGGGTCTAGAAGTAGCATAGAGGCCTCACCTGCAGGAAGCAGCTACCACCAGTACTACTGAGGGGACAAAAGGAAATCACTGCTGCGCAGAAACCGACAGCTGGGACCCCCGTGGAGCTGAAACTCAGGCTTCTGAGGAGAGGCTGCTGCTGAGCGTTGCTGGTGTCTCTGAGCTCAGAGGAAAAGCCCTTCAGAACCGGGACCCGGGTCTCTGAGGCTAGAGTGCTGGCCAGCTGGTTCTGGGTCTCTGGACTTCAGCATGTGATGAAGGTGGTTTTGTAAGTGTTGGAAAAACTATACGTGCATTCAGAGCTTCAAAGGACTTGCTGTGCTGGGTGCAGAAGTATCACTTGGAGGGGGCTTGCAGGAGCCCTGCCAGCGGGAAGCAAGAGGAAGCTGTCCTCCCTGTCCCAGCCCTGAGCTCCCCAAGCATTTCCCATTGGCCACACTTAGCAGCTGAGGAAGCCGATCACTGGCGCGCCGCCTCAGCGTTACAGGACAGAAGGCAGAGGGTGGTTTTGGTGCTCAGGGTTCCTTGGATGGCGGGCCACATCCAGGGAGCCAGCCGCAGTCAGGAACAGGGCGGGGCAGCACCCCGGAGTCTCCACCATGCTCTTTCCGGTCACCACCCAGCAGCCCGCGGCGCGGGGGTGGGGTGGGGGGAGGTGGCTGTGGCGGCTCCTGTCCTGACTTAACAATGACGGATTTTACGTGGCTCTGGCTTCTTACACATACTTTTCTGTCTTTGGTTTTTCACTTTTAATATTTTGCCCTTAGACTTTTCTCCAGCTGAACACTATGTTTTATCTTGGCTTTCCCTTTCTTGGTCTTTTTTCCTTCTTTCTTTTTTTTTTTTTTTTTTTT